TTTTGGAATTGTGATTGAAGAAGAAGAATAGGAGGGGGTTGTTGGGTTTGTTTGGGTTATTTTTTTAATTTTTTGCTTGATTTCTAGGTTTTGGTTGAATTAATGATGAAAGGGTATTTTAGGAATAAAGGTGGGTGGAAAAATAGGATTGTGTTTTTTCAAATTTACATGGTGGGTGAGAATATAAGGGGGGTGGAAAAATAGGACAAGGGGGTGGAAATAGTAGCACTCTTTGATTATATACTAATTTTTTTTATGTTGTCTTGACTACTTTTATAAACATTTCAACCAAAAAAAATCAAATTCCAACAACATTAAAGTTTTGTATCTATTGCAAATTTAGGAACAAAAGAGTTTGCTATATATAAATAATTTTGAATTTTTTTTTATAAATCCATTGGTTTATGCTCAATTATTTACAACCCGTTATTGTCTTAATTTTGATGTTAGATCACTTTGTTATTGTAATAACCCTTTGTGACTAATGGGTTTTTTTGGCTAAATTACAATCCCATAATTTCTTCAAAAACAAAGCCCTATTTTCAGGCTCATTGTGGGTGTGGGAGAGCCCATTGGGTTTCTAAATTATAAAGCCACCATTTTAAATGTCCTTGGCATTAATTGAATTTGAGTATGCCTTGAGCATGCCTGTTGGCCTGGGGCATCAACAAAAAAGCTGTATGAAAGTAGTTTTAACAAATTTTATAACTTTTGAAGAGGCATACAACCACAGATGAGCTTTATCAAGGTCTGGTATTTCAGTTGACTTCCTTGAGTCGTAGTGAAAATTCGATATTTGCTTTAGATGGTACCCTGATTCTACGTCCACCCAGGATTTTTATGCAGACACCAAGGCTGCTAATTTTTAGTTTGAAATTTTCCATTGTGCTTTTATGATTAAAACAACGAACTCATTGGGTTTAGCCTAACTGGTGAGAAAGCGCGGGTGATGGGTTAGGATTGGGAATCAAGTTTCAATTCCCTTCAATATAATAGAAATAAATAAAAACCAACAATTAGCTCATTGAGTTTAGCTTAAGAGTTATTTACACTAACATACCCTAAGGTTTCAATTTGTTTTCACAAAACCCTTTTCATTGATTCTTCATTCAAAATTTGATGATTTCATACATAAAAACTTTTGCAAATAACAAAATTAACCTCAATAAATGTATGTGCAATTTAATCTCAAAATGCTAACTTTGTCATTTGAAGAAAGTTTTTATATAAAATCATCAATTTTTGGACCAAAAATCAATAGAAAGGGGTTTTGGGAAAACAATTTAAGACCTAAGTGGGTGCTCGTGTAATTTTATAAAACATCACTAAGTTTTGTGAAAACACTAAAAACCTAAGGAAACGTTAGTATAAATAACTCTTAGCTTAATAGGTGAGGCAACCTAAATGAAGTAATGTGCCAGAAATAGATAATAAAGAAGCACATTCCATAATTGGTCTTTTTTTTTTTCCTTAAACTAATGTGCCAGAAATAAGTTAGAGTAAAAAGGGTGATCCAGTAGCCAAACCTGTTGCTTCAACAACTAATTTGCTGCTGAATGTTTTTATGCTTACCCGTTAATTAATCAGTCAGAGATAAGCCAAGGCCAAATTTCTTTATTATTATTATTTTGTGTACAATATTAATTAGAGCATTAATCAATTCCGTAAGCGGATGACCTTTCATACTTGATTAGAGTGAGAAATGGCTTTGCCAAAATACACATGATGCTTCGATTTTTAGCTATACAAATCTTGCGAATAGAGCAAAAAAGCATGGTATTAATATGATTAAGAAGCTCCTCATGAGGCAGGTATAGGATTTAACTATAATCAGGTTCATTAATATCAACTAACTTCTAGTCTAGTAGTATATGTTCTTCTCAATATTGAAAGAGGTTCTAAGTTTTGAATCCCCTATTCTAAAAAAGAAATGTATAAAGACCACAGATATTCATGCCGCCCAATGATGATGTGACAAGTGAACAGTAATTACCTATATATATGTACATGGCTCAAGGGCGGTGCTGTGCACAGGGTAGGCTGGGTTCCTGCCCAACTCAAAATTTTTCTAAAAAAAAAAATGCCTACATGTGTTATAAGTCCCACCCAAAATTTAAAAAAATTAAAAGCAAACCTTACGCATATGTTGCCCATCCATGTGGTCTCATATCTTCTCTCTCATTCTCTTTTGGCTTTTAGACTTCTTGTTACTCTCTCTCTTTGCTACCCAACAGTAGCAAGTTTCTCTCTCTTTTTTCTTTTCTTTTTTGGGTCAAATTCTCCCTCCATTGGCTACATCTTCTATTATCTTGGCTGGGCAACTTGGCAACAAAATCTTCGCCTCTCCTTTTGTCAACAACAAGTATTATTCTCATTCTCTCCTTTGCTATATATCTTTAATTATGGTTTTAATTTAAAATTGAGTATTCTAGAATTTAATTAGGGATGACTTATAATTTTGGGATTTTGTTGAAATTAATTAGGGTTTTGATCAAGGATGAATTCTAGGGCTTTGATTTGGGATTTTGTTAAAATTGAGTATTGTAGGGTTTAATTATGGATGAATTATAATTTTTGGTTTGGTATTGTTGAGATGCTATTATGAGAATTTGTTTGATTTTTTGTTGGTACGTTTGATTAAAATTATTTCTGCATATTATTCATAGGCTATCTTTTATCATGTCGGATCACAATTGGAATTCCAAGAGAACAAAGAATTTGTTGTCTTTAAAAAAAAATATTATGGGTCATCATCTAATACATTGCCTTTAGCACTTCTTTATCTACTCCATTATGTGATGAGCAAAATCTTCTTGAGGGATAAAGATGCATTTGAGGGTAGGCTCATTATGTCCCTCTTGACTAGGTGTATCTTTTTATGTTTATGAATGAAATTCACTCGTATCGTCAAATTTAGCATGTAAGTTTTACCCAACCAGCTTTTGAGTCATGGAACCGCCCCGGCTCACTACTATGGTTCATTATTACCAGTCCATGAATCTTGTAATCCTTTTCTAGAATGAGATATTTAGAAATTTAGGAATTCAAAAAATTTCATTTTAGCGTTTTATAATGTGTGAACTGATCGAGAAGCAAATATGTAACAATGTAGTAGTTATCATTATAATTTGTTATAAAACTAAACTTGACAATGAGAAAATTAAAAAAATTAAAAATTGACTTCTCTAGGAAAAATCTCATACCCATTTCTAAATTCCGAGTGCTTTATATGGAAGAAAAAATTGACAGAAAATTAGAACGCATGCAAAAGTTGGTGGACAACATAGACTAAAAAATAAGTTGGATGACCAAAATGAAACTCGAATAGAAGTTAAGGGACCATTGCTGTTAAAAACCCAAAAAACATGAAGGCTTGAAGGGCAACATGACATCATACACCCAAGGAGAGAAAATAAGCAATAGAATTAGAACTTTCGATAATCATGTGTTGCAAGGTTTGGTAAATGGACGGTCAAAAGTCTTGACATGCTTTTGATACCGATAAATTAGCTTCAAGTTGCTGAGCTTACTAACACAAGGAATTCAAACTGTGGACCAACGTATTAGAAAACCTATTAATTTGTAAACTTATATGCCAAAAATGAGAAAACTAGTAGTCGGCTATCGGAGATTTGGCTTTTTGCCAAGTCAACAATTACATAGCTACGCTATCTTAGGCATGCATAATATGATACTCATATAATCTTAACAAGCTTTTCGACATCCGATGAAATGGCTGGCTTCAAGTTCTTAACTTTTCCAGCTCATGAAAATGAAAAGAAAAAAGCAACCCATTATGAGGCAATTCCTCAACCCTAAAGTATCTATAATGGGCTTCCTAAATCACATTTTTAGACAATTTAAGGAAAAAAAAAAAAAAAAAAACACGACTCCAACCATGCTCAAAGAGTACTAAGTACAATCGGTCCTAAGATTTTTTTGGTTATGGGACAAAAACAAAAACGGAGACTCTTCATACGCATTTATATGCTGCATTAATTAATTTCTTCTCTTTTTCTATGTGACATACGATGGACTTAATTGTTAAATAAGTGAGTTAAAATTAACTAGAATTTGACCCAAATATGAAATGTTAAGTACGATCCAAACATGACACAACAAAGCTTAAATGCGATCACTTTTCTCTTATAATATATCCTTTGTAGGTTCCATTTTATTATATTTTGTGGATTTTACAAGTATCATATAGCAAACTAGATGATTTAACTGTTTAGAAGTGATGTTAAAAGCGCTTTTAGATCATCCAAACCGTTTTTCAAAGCTTCTAGGAACAATGCCTACGTATTGACCGAGAGTAAAAGTGATTCCTATACAAACACGCTTCTGAAAGTGCTTCCTATACAAACACGCTACAAATTTGTTAAGTTTTATTAAACCAAGATTAACCATCGAGTACGGGCACCAATCCCACCATATAAACTATGAACCTTGGATATCTAAAAACTACGGGATCCCAAGATTTGTCTTGTAAGACTAAATTTCACACCCTAAAACCAAGGCTGAGCTCACATGCATTGGTTCATGTCCCTTGCTAACTACGATATATAATATGATTTGGGTTAAGATAACGTATAAGATGGTTATTGATGATACCCTTGGTGCATGTGAACAGCTTATTTCCCCCACACTTCCGTCACACGGTGCCGTAATAGTAGCCTTAAGTCACCAACTTATAATCGCTACCACATCTTGAGTGTTGAGTTACGTTCCAAAGTATTATAGGGGTTCGAATTTGAGACTACTGATCGGCAAGTCATGCTCTTTTTCTATTTGGTTAGACTTCGTTGATGAGTGTTGAGCGAGCTTTAAATAATGACAAATATAATAAATATTATACACACATTTATCCAGCATGGCATTGTCGGGCACTCCATGTGTGCAAACCCTAAATATTTCATGTATATAATCCCCAAGGGTTTCATTGAACTTTACCACATTCAAGCCTAATTAGGGTTTTTTTTGGGAGAGGGAAAATGATGATGAGAAGCCAAATATCATTTGTGTTTCTTGTTCTCCCATGTTTGGGCCTAGTTGCTCTGAGCTTCTGTCTAGGGTTTGTGAGTGCTGCTTCTTCGGTGCCACTGCCTAACAAGTTGACTTGGCATTATTACAAAGTCCATAATACTTGTGATGAAGCAGAGATTTATGTACGGCACCAAGTGCAGTTGCTTTGGGACAAGGATAAAACCATCACCCCCAAGCTCCTCAGGTTGCTCTACTCCGATTGCTTCGTCACGGTATGTGCTTCTATTCATTTCTACTAAGCTTCCTCCTCCTCATTTTTTCTCAGATCAATTAAATTTGTGTATGTATCTTTGTTTTGGTGGCCAAAGTGAAGCAATGAAAGCTTTTTCCCTTCAGCTCATGTATGAATTAATTAGCTATTTAAAACGATATTAATTCACACACAAAAAAAACAAAGTGAAATAAGAGAAAAAATAAAAACACATTACTTCCCTTCGGCTATGTGTTATTCTTTTTTTGGGTCAGAAATTAGCTTCGTCTTAGCTGTAGTGAAGTAGGACAAACAGTACATTAATATCTGGTTCCCTACTTACTATAATATATTACCACAATATTTCCACAAAATATATTTAATTCACTTTGGTAGTAAACCACCTTTGTTTTTCCTATATTTTATTTTCTCTATCCTTTTTTTTTTTTTTGGGATTATGGAAGCCTCTTAGGAAGATTAAAATACCCTTCCCTTACTAATTAATCTGATAATGCTTATAAAAGTTCTTGAATTTTAAAATTAGTTAAATGTATGTACGAATTAATAGATTTATTTTTTACATTGAGGAAAATCCAGGGTTGTGATGCATCAGTGCTCCTTGATGGTCCAAACTCAGAAAAAACTGCACCACAAAATTATGGGCTTGGAGGGTTTGTTTTCATCGACAAGGTCAAAAGTGTTCTTGAACAACGTTGCCCTGGCGTGGTCTCTTGTGCTGATATTCTCAACCTTGCCGCTAGAGATGCCGTTCATTTGGTACCTTTCTGACCTCCTATAATTTTTGCTACTTGTAGTTTGTCGGTTTTATCACTTTGATTCTTATAAATTTTACATCCAAACAATTTGAGAACATGTTACAAATTTTGTTAAATCCTGTGACAAATTCTATCATATCTCAATCTCAAAATATAACGAAATTAGAAGATTTGACAAAATTTGTAATGTGTCCTTAGATTGCTCACGATTTAAGACTACAAGAGTAAAATTGATAGAAATTAAACTACATGGGCCATAATGGTAAAACGGGCAAATCACATAGACTAAAAGTGACTTGCTTATATTTTATTTAAACTAATTTTATCAAAATTCAAAGCACTAATTTTTTATTGTATTTATTAATCTCAATAGGCAGGCGCACCATCTTATCCTGTTCTTACGGGAAGAAGAGACGGCCTGACATCTAGCAAATCATCCGTGGATCTTCCCTTACCGTCCATCTCATGGCAGGCTGCGCTCACATACTTCAAATCTAGGGGCTTGGATGTATTGGATATGACCACTCTCCTAGGTAAGAAATGGAAATTACGAATATGACACTGTCACCACTCCATTTTATATTTTTGTTTTATGTATTTTACTTTTTGAGTACAAGCGATAGTCTAAACTACAAAAAGAGGAAGGTTTCTCACACACACACTATCGTAGTATTATGAGGGGTTCGAAACTTGAAATCATTAATCAATAGTCAATGCACTTTTCCACTCGGCTAAACCCATTGGTTAATGAATTTTTTCGTTTTAAATTCATTATTTATTGCATAAAATTGCTTTGAACACAAAGACAAGGTGGCATACTCATCACGTCACATGGCATTCCATTACGTTACGGAAGTCCCAACTTAAGTTTTACCTTCAAAATGCATTTCTGATAATTTCCCTTTGTCAGGCGCACATTCAATGGGCCAAACACATTGTCGTTACATTGTTGATCGGCTGTACAATTTCAATAACACGGGAAAGCCAGACCCAGGCATGGAACGTTCATTCTTATCCGACATGAGAAAGCTTTGCCCGCCGAGAACAAAGAAGGGACAGAGCGACCCACTGGTGTATCTAAACCCGGGATTCGGCGCCAACCACACATTCACAGAATCCTACTACTCTAGAGTCCTATCTCACAAAGCTGTACTTGGAATTGATCAACAGCTACTGTATGGTGGTGATACTAAGGAAATTACCAAAGAGTTTGCTGCCGGTTTTGAGGACTTTCGGAAGTCATTTGCTCTATCAATAAACCGGATGGGAGCTTACCAGGTTTTGACAGGAAACCAGGGGGAGATACGAAAAAATTGCCGAATTCCAAATAAGAAGTAGATGGCAAGCTATTAAGAAAGGGCAAAATGGTCATCAGGGTGGCATTGTTTTGTGATGTTTTAGGAGGAATAATTAATAATGACCTAACGAAAAGTACATTTCTGATTCACAAATAAAATTATCAAACAAAGTTTCTTAGGTTATGACTCTCAGCATATGATATTTTTGTATAACTATCAATACATCTCTCTCTCAAAGTAATCACATTCTCAAGTCCACAAGATATTAGAACTCTCAGCACCAAGTTTGCTCTTCAAAATATGATGTAATGAAGATTACAAGATTGAAAAATAGTCATGTTCGTCAAACCTGTAACAGGTATCCGCCAAAGCTAAGCAGTTAGACCTCCATGCACGAAAACAGAGAAACTTCTTCCCTCTTTAGAATCTCTCAGCTGGCTTCAAAATGAGGAAGAGAACAATATAAGCTCTGACAAAGACCAGCCAGGAAAAAAAAAAAAAGACTCAGGCAAAGATTAAGTGGAAGTGTACAAAGGAAATAAAGGCATACGCTCTTTTTCACAATCATTTTAAGAACAAATTGGGTACTGGAAATAATTGGCTTGCTCTAAAGTTATAAAAATGAATTAAAAAATACTGTGAATAAAAAAAAAAAAAGTAAGGGAAACAGTTAATGGTTCTCGAGCCCATAAATGGTACCAATTGATGGATACTCCACAGAATCCCTAAATAAATAAATAAAAAAAGTCTGATCCCAAATACTATCTACCATTACAAACATGGTGAATATGTAACCATGTCCAACTCGCTATAATATGCAAATAAGATTAACTAAAAGTCTGGGCTCTGAAGCTAGTATTTCCAGTTCAAATACCTCTTCAAATTGTTAGCACCAACTAAAACCCTGAGGAGCTAAGATAATTATAATACAGAAGATTCATGAAGTAAAATATATTGGGAAGCACGTAGAAAGTTTTCAGATTTTGACACTAGGTCACCAATGAAGTACTTGATAATCCTAATGTCCTCTCCAAACTTATTTTTCCTCCATGTTAAATTTTTATTTAATTACAAAATACTAATCCAAAAAGGTCTCTGAAAGCCTCCTGTTTTTCTACACCCCTATATCATATGGAAATTGTTCACAGGAATATGCAGGGAAAAGGACAATACAAATAAACCTGCAGACTTGATGTTCAGCACCCAACTGACAATTTTGAGTCATTAAATAAACCGATTTTTAGAAACTTCAAATCTAATACATTACCACACTTCCACTACTCAGTTTTTCTTTCTGACTTGAAAAGATGACGTTCGACACTATTACTCTATCCAACATTACTTTTCCTCATTTTCCTCTGTCTCTCTGGTTCTCTTTTTGTCAAAGCCTTCCAGAAAAATGTTCTCATATTTTCCTTCACATACTTAATTAAGAAATAAACACAATGTAAAGGCTTTAAAAAAAAGGTTATTGAGAATCTGATGGAGAGTAAATGCCAAGTCACACCTACTGCTGGGTAACAAGATCTATATTAGCGTCAACAATACACACGATATTTGAAAACCAAAGGAAACCCAGATGCTATTCTACACCATCATAATCTAACGAGGTAGAATTCTAACCGAGAGAGAGAGAGAGGCTAAAGAAAATACTCAAATTCTTCTGAACCACCAAGTACAAAAGTCTCCCTTTGTAAAAATGATTTCCTCAAGAAAACAAGATAACAAAGCAAGACAAAACGAGGCCATTATTCAGATCAATGTAGTCAGTGTCACAATGCGGTGGCTTGAAGTTCATCTCAACATCACCAGATAAATTGAGGCCTTCATTGGTGGCAGCAGGTACTTCATATTGGTACAAATTAAGGGTGGCAATTTGTGTTAATGGATCGGGTATGTAATTAATCGTGCCGAATGACTCAACACTAGGGTTACAATCAGGCCGTGTTCGGGTTGCCCCACATATATTGTGATTAAAAAATAAATAAACTTAAAACGAAGGGCCCATTTGGTAATGTCTTCATTTTTTGTTTATGTTTTTTTTGGTTTTTTGTTTTTTTTTTCGATTAGAGATAGCAAGGAGATATATGGGAAAAAGGGAGGGCGGGAGGAAGGATGGTGAGAGGGAGGGGGGAAAATTTGTATTGCTGCATAAAATGAAAACTAAAAAAAATATTCATTTTCAAGTTTTTTCATTCCTTCATTTATTCCTCACCCTTCCCTCAACTCTTCTTCATCCCTCTTTTCCTTCCTCTATTTCATCTCTATTTCTAACCAAAAACCAAAAACGAAAAGGTTATCAAATGGGCCTTAAGTTTCCTTCATTTCTAAACTAAACTTTTTCTTCATTTCTGAACTAAACATGCCACTTACACGTCACAATAAATTAAAATTTTGCTAAACATGTCCCTTCATTTTGGTCAGCGTGGCTATTTTATCCTAATTAAATCTTCACCCGCATTTTGAGAGTACTAACTGCTCATAATATTAAGTTCACTATTACACATCTTTGAGTTAAACTTAAATCCTGATATGACAAGAAAACTGTCCACAAACAGTGCAAAAGTGCAGCATCAAAGAAGAAAGACTGAAAGATCAGATACTTATAGCTATCTGCAAGTGACCACCAGCCAAGAGTTCAAATCCCAATTCAGACGACAATAACGTTGAAACTAATTATGTAAACAAACTAAAAGAAATTAAGAGAGAGAGAGAGAGAGAGAGAGAGAGAGAGAGAAGTTATCGGCAAAAGAGGAAGGCAAGTTTTGTAAACTTTACGACCGGAATCTCAATCAATGTACCCAAAATGAAAATCCAATGACGATATAGAGGCAGTTCAATATAAAATTCCTATAGCTACATAAGCTAATAATTACTATTGTAAATCTAAATAACGTATATCAAGATTTCACCCTTCTTCCTAAAAGGTTGATACAGATTCACTTTGCATGATTTCCCATTAACCAAATAATATAAATAACAAAACCATGATTTATCATTTGATTGAATGCTAAAATGTACCAAAACTAGAAACAAAAAAGAGAAAGCCCTAATCTAGAAACATTTCCAAGTCAGCTCAAACTGAAACTCATGTGGAGTTCCATACAAATGAAAGAAAAGAAAATCACATGGTGTTTACCTTGCAAAAAATTTGAAGCAGACAACATAAGTGCAAATAACTGGACCAATCTACAAACAGCAATGGCGCTTCAGCTTGAACTTGCGAGTGTAATCAGATCAGAGTGTCATCACCGTGCTATCTGGGATTGAAAAGATCCTAGTCACCATTCCGGGCTGAGGGGCTGTTTTTCTTGATAAGCTGGTTCAAGCAGAAGTTAAGTTTCAAAAAGAGCATCCACAAAGCAATATGCACAGTTTCATGCAACAAAATGGTCGTTTCTGTCCATTTCTGTTAGTGGCCGCCTGTGTTTCAGTCCCATCAGATGACCCAACCAGGCTTTGGCCTGAGTCATGGGCCCTTTTTTTACCACCAAGCACCCAATGAGCATAACTGGGAGGACCAATAAGCCAACCTGTCCACCTGCCCATCGGCCCAGCTTTTATAAATCTTTTTAGTTTAATATTATTTTTTTTAAGTTTCTAAAAGAATCATCTGCTATTTTCTTTCAGTCAGTAATATTCAGTATACTCTAATACTTTCTGTTCATTTATTGTAGAATAACTATTAAAGCAATATCGAACAAGAAATAGATTGTTCTAAGGTCACCCAAACGCCTGCAGGCAGGGAAGCGGGCCTTGAATTAGAAGGCTGGGCTGTGGTCATCAATGAATAATTTGATAATATATGGCAGTAACCCAACTGCTTTATCACATTTTGACATAATTAAAAAGCTCAGTAAAAAGCATCATGTCAAAGTTCCAGTCACATATATTTACAAAAGAAGAATCCCTTTCTCTAGGATGCAAAAGGAATTGCATTGTTAGGGTCGCCAAGAAATGTGGTCCAGTGATCCAAACTGTCTAAATTTTAGGTCCAGATTAAAAAATCATCTCTGTAAAAATAATCAGGTGAACCAGACCATTAAAATAAATAAATGATATTTCATTCAGTTATTATTTTGTAAAGATGATTCCTGAATAGGGATTTAACAAATGGACAGCTTAGATTACTGAATCACATTGAGGGTTGGTCCCACAAGAGATTCCCTTTGCTTCTTATCAAAAGGGATCCCTATGTATAAGTTTTCCCTATATATACAGCCACACACATTTGGTTTAAGATTGAAAAAGAGAAATTTCACGAACAGTCTGTGTGTCTAAAAAGGGTACATGCAAGTGACATAAAAAGCTCTACTAATATGTGGTGCCATCCCATGCTTTATTTCTTAACTTAAGAGGATGATGTGCAACACCATCGATGGTGAGAGAATTCTCTTCAAAATCTACGAGAAACCACCATAAAGCACTCTCTCACTAATAGTTAGAGGGAAATAATAAATCAAAGAGAATCTAACCTTGTAGAAATATTTCTTCCGAAGCTTGACCGCTGTGCGGATGCATCTTTTGACACTGATTTTCAGCAAATTATCATTGAAAATCTGCAGCGCATTAAAATAAGTTTCAAGGAAATTATTTAGGAAAAGTAGAAAAACAATCCAAAAATCATGAAGAGTTACAAAACCAACTCAAATAAACTGGACCAGAAAAACCTCTTAACACCACAAGGGCATCACAAAGATCCCCATATCATTACGACACTCCCCCGATACATATCTAATATTTAAAATCCGTATCAATTAATATTTTGACAATTTCACCTATCCAGACAACCAGCACTCATTAAAGTCAAAAAATAGTTATTTTCAACATTATTTAAAAAACTAACGTCTGTTCTTAATTTTTAAAAACTAAAGAGTCAATATGAAAAAAAATACACACACACACACACAGAGAAGAAAAGAGAACCTCTACTTTTGTATCGTCCAACACAACAACCAAGGGCCAAAAGAGGCAGATTATTAAATTCTTTTTTTTTCAAAATATATATGCTTCAGTTGAGGGACACCCTTGTAGAGCCCACCATGCATTGTATTTCAACGTTCCGAACTGTCTAGTTTTTAGATATTCCCTCAAAGATTATCTCTGCAAAATATCACTTGAATCCGAAACCATTTGACCACTAATTAGATTATTGTTATTATAAAATGATCTTGAAGCACCGTGTTCGTGTATTTTGTTGGTCCTAATTAGATGTCTTAATGGTTTTCAATTTGCAAGGATGATCTATGAATGAAGATTTGAAAAATAAACGGTTTGGATCGTTGAATTTTTTTTTTTAGGGTACCCTAAAGGGTGTCCCTCAAATAAAATTATTTGAGGGATCCCTCAATAGAAGAGGACTATAAATAAATAAATAAATAAATAAATATATATATATATATATATATGTGTGTGTGTGTGTGTGTGTACATATGTAACGTAATACATATTATTCTATTGGTATACCTGTATTCTTGTTTTTTTAAATGTATCATATCATCTAGCAACGAATCCTGTATCCCCTATCCATTGACGGCAACAGAGAGAATGAGTGATCATTAAATTTTTTTTTACTTTTATCCATATGCATGTGGATATGGATATCCATGCAACATAGGAGATGAGCGGTCCTTGGAATTTTTTACTTCTTTAACTGTTTATCCATATCTTGTAACCAATATGCTTGCGACCAACCTACATTCCCATGTGTAAAATGGCCTCCAATCATACTATATGGATTGTGCAAGACTAGTGGCATCTAGTCTCCACTATGTTGGAGGAGCTCCTGAGCCCTGAGATGAAATCTCACAGATGACAACATTTGAACAAAAAAATGGCATGAGAGAGTGGATTTTCTTCAAACTTTTTTTGAGAAATTTTAAAGATACGCCTTTTAGTAGGATTTCTCTTGAGTTTGAAGGTGCAACCTATCCTAGATTCTATGGACTTCTCACACGTTCTACTTATACTTTGTCTCCAATTTTAATAACAAAGTTTGTGTTTCTTATCCCAAATAGATAAAAGTCAGTGCAGAACTGACCGATCAAATTCATAGACCAGGTAACTGTAAAAGTAACCTTTGAGTGGAAGAAAACAAACAGAGAAATAAATTAACTAATGCAAAGTACAATATTAAACAGAAAACTCAATATAATGCACCTACCTTTATCATATCATCAATTGAGCGTGTCTCGCGAATGATTTTCTGGCGGTTCATGATGAGGATTGCAGCAACGCAGAAGACTGGTAACTCATCATCCCCATTCCTAGTTGATGAGACTGCAGTGCAGATGTGCATGCGATCATTCTTTGACCAAAAATTCCTTGTCAACCCACAAAAATGATAAGTTGATGCTGATTTTATTCCAGTGTCAGACATGGACTGTTCTGGATTTCCATGATTTGAATGTGAGCCGCCCTTCATATCACCACCACCCTCCACACTTTCACCCCTCATTTCTGCTTCCAAATCCCTAGGAAGCTGTACCACCAAGGCTTCTAGACAGCTGTCCTCTAAATTGTAAGCCAAGGATTCTTGAAAATCAGCAGCCCACATCATCTGCATTTGACATAACTGACAATTTGAATATATACAAATATACATGCTGCAGTTTATGAGGTAAACATGTAGTGGAAAATTTCTCGTTCTAACTTATCATAGAAATTTCTCTTTTATATAAATTATAGAAATACTTAGAGTTAAATATTTTTCTGGCAGTTACACACTCCAAAGACCAATTTTTTTTTTCTTGCTCTTTTCTGATTCCAAGCTCATCATAAGAACTACAATATTAGGAAATATGCCCATAAACCTTAAACCCAACATTATGTGATAAGTTAAACTTAATGAAAAGACAGAGCAAAGCAATCATTTATCCTATGGACTATGGCAACTTCGCCCAATTTGTATTTAATACACGTGTAAATAATTTGCACCAAATAAGTGCCATAGTTCATCCATTTTGTAAAGCATATATTATAATTGCAGGTTTTGAGGTCCATATTAACAGTTCATAAATTCATTGGGTGATCTACCATATCAAGCATGACAGAGTAACTAAAGAGCACAAACCTCCCACATACAAAGAGCATCATCAAACGATAACTCCCGACGGAAGAGTACCAGCAGCATCCGAAATGCAAAATGAAGGCTTTCAGCACCTATGTGTGACAGGTGTGCAAACATTTCCCTGTCTGTGAGTTCCAAGATATTCCACAATACTTGCAACTGCTTCATTACCCCAGTTGGTCCTTCCATCTGAAAATTTTCCCGCTGAATGAAGAGTTTGAAAAGAAAATGTTAGTGATGGAGCATAGAAATATCTAGCTCAAGATATATTTGTCAAGTTTAGAATACCATTCTCCTTAGAAGCATCTCAAAGCACCAAAACGCATCAGCATTATCCTCAAACAGGACGACAAATGGAGACAGCAAGTCACTCATACCTAAAAAACAATAATCAGTTAAACTAAAACTAACTTCTGCAGCTTTTGAGATAGAGTGATAATTTTGAATCTTAATTTAAGAGAAAATCATGTGAGGACAGAAAGAGCATTAGAAAAAGAAAACTAATAACAAAAACACAACCTTGACAATATCCGGTTGCTGGATCAACCCACGCATAAACAGCAAGAATATCTGACATCCTTGCTAAATTTTTTGCATCCTCATAGAATTCAAGATGACTGTCTGTTCTTACCACATCAACAACTGAAAGAAAGAAAAAAAAAATGACAAATTTTCTCAACTGAAAACAAGGCTTTAAGAGGATCAATCAATGAGAGCAACAACAGTATGAATTATAAGTGAGACTAAGAAAGAAAGGTAGACTTACCTATTCGGTGGAGAGTCCAAAGCCATTCAGATACTCTGTCTTCACTCACAGTCCCTCCTTGAGACATTGTTGTATTTCTAAATTCTGTATCTGGTACATCTGATATTCTCATCCTGTTAACTATTTCTTTCTTATTACCCATATTATTGGACTGCAATACTGAATGATGGGCATCAGTACGAACCATTTCAATTTCAGAGTTAATGGTGCGTGAAACATTCTTGGATGGTGAGCAATTTGATTCAATAACTAAATCTACATTGTTATTGACTTGAAAACTGTGCATGCTGTCCTTTTTCAACCTTGACTTACATTGCGCAGAAAGTTTATCATCAGACACGCGACCTTCATCATCTTCTTCACACTTTTCAAACAAATCAGTGACCGGTAAAGTAGGATATTCAAAATAACTTTTTGGTACATATTTTGTTCCATCTGCTTCTCTCCCGAGCTTTGGGGAGCTGCAGTCATGTGGACTAGAAGTATGTATGAAACAAGAAGAATCATATGCTGCACTATCTGTGCTTTCCCTCACGCTGACAAGGTCAGCCGACTCACTAGAACTCTCTTGTTGGCATGCATATGATGTATCTGTACAATTATTATTCCTATCACAATAGTTCTCTACTTTGTTAGTATTATCAAAAGAAGTTTGTCTATGTTCAACTTTAGCTTCCCCCCCTTCGTCATCTTTAGACGGTGCCCTAACATCCATAACCTTGGACCCAACAACATAAGCAAGTGAACCAGTTCCAATGCTTGAATGCATCATTTGGCACTGCTTAATCAGGTCCCTATAACGTTCCCTGCATACAAAAATTTATGAAGACGGTAAATCCAAACAAATCCAAAAGACTGTATTTCAACTGCACTTACTAATTGAAAAGAATTCCATAAGCTGAAAAGAAAATTTCATGGTGCATTTTAACACATATAAAAATAAATAAATAAATAAATAACCTGAATTACAACTATTGCCCTTGTTACTTTGGTAAATGTTTTTATTTAGTCTCTTTCTATACTAAGAATAATGCTACTCCTGCAGAACTTTTATTGCAGAATAAACTTAAACCATGACCAGATGACACCTGGCTTGCGAAGTAGTTTCATGTTATACAGGTTTAGTTTGAGTGGCATGCATGACAAGCCACATAATCAGTCACGTCATGGAGTAAAATGATTCTGGAAAAGTTTTGCATTTTCCTTCAGAGAACACAATATATATATATATATATATTGCATTTTCCTAATAGTGAATGGAAAGGTGCTAAATGCCCTGAATGTGACCTCATATCCACTTGGCATCATCTTTGTTTTCAGATAGACCCATATTGAGTTTGAGTGATATGCATGACAAGCCACATAAACAGTCACAGCATGGAGTAAAATGATTCTGCAGAAGTTTTGCATTTTCCTTTAGACTAAAAACATAAGAAAAATTTCTCATTTTCCTTATGTGTGAAAGGAAAGGTGCTATATGCGCTGCATGTGACCCCATATCCACTTGGCACCATTTCTTTTCAAATTGGCCCGTCATTGACCACATGAAGGACATTGAAAGCAGATGAGAGCCTGGAGTAAGTTATCAATTGCCTGGCACATAATCCATGGACAAGTGAAACTTTGGGGTCTCCGTATAAAACACCTGTTACATGCCCCAAAAGTATCTATATCGACGTGTTTAATCATCAATAGAATAAGAGTTTTAAAGAGATATCTATCATAAAAGTTAATTAAAAATATTAAGAAGAAAAGGACCTCCGGGCTGTCCGCAACTGCCTTCGAGACTCCACAGTACTACCCAGAGCATAACAACCAAGTAAAAATTCCCACACTTCTGGCCTTATAGATTGATCAACGCCCTATGATGCAGCAAAAAGTTCCGTTACAATTATAAGTTAGAAAGTCTTTGATTACACCATCTTCAAGATAGAGATTTTAACACTTCAAATCACAAATTATCAATTTCAACATGTTTAAAATGACATGTCTAAAACAAAGCTCTATTTCATAAACAAAACAAAAGCAGTCAACCAGACTAAGATTACTATATATGCCAATAAATACCACCTGAACACTTAAATGTTTATGCTAGAGTGAAATGAGAGAATATACACCGAAAATACCATGCCTAGCCACAGTTGATAGTACAAGTGGTAGAAAATAAACAAATATGTACAACTTCTCTTCAAAAGCTTTGACCACATATCTGAAGACTTAGATGAAATTAATTGAATAGTTGTCACAGATAGAGGTCATCTGTAACTCTAATACTGCTGCTACCACAAATCACGATCTTACTATGTGTACAACAAATTTATCAAAAAAACATAACATAAGTAGACAGTTAATTATAACATATATAAAAAATCAACTGAAACAAAATAAAAAAGAACTCCCTACAAATTAGGCCCAAATTATATTCAACTGTAAACCAACATACCCCCAATACTATTAATTTGAGTGCCTTCTGAAAACAAAAATTCTTCCCATCGCTATCAAATGTGGCCTGCCACTTCTCCGGTTTAAGCATTTTGTTCACCTGAATCATTCGAAAATAAAACGACAATGCTCTATAAATGAATACAATCATGAATAAGAAGAAAACTTATGTGATAATTTAATTACATGGAAAGAATAGCATGTATGAAAAAAGTTAAAACACCTTTCTTCAAAGACCAAATCAGACAAGCATCATGCTCCCTCAGTCTTTAAATTGTAATGGAGATCTATTACTCATTACCATAATTATATATGATCAGAAATGGGAATAAAATGTAGGTGGTAATTTAATTACACACAAAGGAGAACATATGAGAACAAAAATCAAACACTTTCTACTGAAAACAAATTCAGAAATGTATCATGCTCCCTCGGTTTTAAATTCTAATGAAGAGCTTCTATTTCACACCAAAAAATTAGAAAGACTAGAAGTTTACAGAAAGTCGCAAATTGTGATGAAGATGAAGTACCAGGAGCTAACACATATTTCAAGAACTGGTCTCTCAGTTTCTAGAATAAATACCAACGTAAACACCGCTTGGCCCTATATGCTCCAGAAAAACTAGAAACAAGGCTTATAACATTTTCCCCCAACTCATTCCTTCTGTCCAAAAAGATTGGTAGAGGTTTAAAATAAAATACATAAGAAAGTCTCAAAAGTTTTTTTTCATCTTTTTTTCTTAACAAAACAGGAAGCAGCAGGCCACCTGAGGACTGAACCACGAAGCTCACACTTCACACTTATTCTTAAAAGGGGAGGAGATTCCACTAGAACGAAGGCCCAAAAGTTTGAGTAAGCATGATATCTGTTGTTACACGAGGACATTTGGATGCTTTGAAATGGGGTAAATGGCTTTAGTAGAATGTCTATATAGAGATAGATTGTCACTTAAGCAGGGTTCTAAGATATGTTACCCCGCTTTGTTCCATATATTTGAATAACAGTGATATCTTAGATATTATAAAGGTAAATAAAAGGTGGTTGTACTATCAATTTTGAAAAAATGAAATGCTTTAACAACAAAAAAGTATAGAAAAAGTGGTTCCAGAAGAGAAGTCAGAATTTGATGCAGCCACCAAAAAGCCCTCGGAAAATCAAGATCAAAGAATTGGTCAAACATATTGTCCAGTGCAATAAGGGTCTAACTCTTTGAGAAATGCAAAGCTTTTCACTCAATGGAGCCAAATTTTCTCAGCACAGTGGTAAAGATGGAAATCAAACATCCTTAGAGCTCGAGTTTATATGTCCAGAAGTAGTTTATTTATTAGTAACTCATTAAACTTTGTCTTAGAAGAGTTAATAATATCGTCAGAATCCATTGAGTTTCCTAAGTGCATTCTTAATTAGAAGTCAAGAAGAATTACAACCCTCTATAAATAAAAAATACCACCCAGATTATGGTGGCCGATTAATGATCCACTCCTCACAAATTGTTCCAGCCTAGTCATGACTCTACGTTCATATATAGCAACTCTCATCCTTGTCCAAGAGGACCACACTATTAGAAAGATTATGACCCAGTGTAATATCACTTTTAATGCCTCATCCTTGTCCCAGAGGCACAAACTATTTGGAAGATAAAAGATGTAGTTTGTGACGATTGGAGCATTAACCGACCAACAAGGTACAAGGGCTTCCTCACTATGGTGCATGATATGGTCAAATAAAACATGATGGAATGTAAAATCTCACATCAGCCGCAAGCCAAATCCTAACATGTTATATGAGCTTGATTTGACCTGAAAAAGAGGCATGGCATCACAATGGTGTAATAAACAACTTTTGCAGGAAACTCCTAGAGTCCCTGCCTGATTTATTTTTCCCCTAACCACACCCACCCAACACACACACAAACACACACACACAGGGAAATGTTCTCTTGCAAGATTGTACATCTGTAACACACATTCGGATAAGCAAATCCACACACACACACACATATATAGGGAAATGTTCTCTTGCAAGATTGTAAATCTGTAACACACATTCGGATAAGAAAATCCACCTGATCAATGGTTCCAATCAATAGTCTAACAGTATGGAATGTCAAACTATCTGAAAATGGAGCATTACAACATATACATATGTGTGTGTGAAATTCAATGTTCTCATACTTAATGAGATATTGAAAATGAACAAACCCGAATCCGAATACATACATAAAATGCACAAAGACAAATATAACTAATGTGAGAGTCTTACAGCTATAACCACCTTTATTGGCGACTGCGAGAGGCATGGGTCACTAATGTCACGGACAATTGAACCAACTCTTTGCAAATTAACAGTGGCACCAGATTTCCCACAACCCCATTGCTTGTCCTCTCCGCCTCCACAAGACATACCAATGTCACAGTCCACCAAAACCAAAACCCACCAATACCAATACCACTACCTCTCCTCTTCTCCTTCTCCTTCTCCTTCTTCTTCTCCTTCACCTCAACCTCCACAACTACCATTACACAGTGGGAAAAAAAGGAAAAAACTCAAATACCCAAATCCAGATATCCAAATAACTGCAAAAGAAAATTCAACAAGCAAGAAAATTAAAAATTTATGGTGCAAATGAATCAACGAAAATGGAGAAATTTGTGGAAATGAAAATTGAAATGTGCAATCGGATCCGGGAATTGATTAGTGATCAAACGGTGATCAGATCATTGAAACTAATGTTTGTGTGTGACTTTGTGTTTGTTTATATCGAGAGAGAGAGAGAGAGAGAGAGAGAGAGAGAGATAGAGAAAGAGAGGAGCTTTACCTAAGGAAGAGAGGCTACGAAGAATAGCGTGAGATCTTTGGAAGAGAGAGAGCGTTGAGGAGGAGCTCCTCCGTCGCCATTTAACACACAAATTAAACCGTTTTTGTTGCATTTCCCCTGTGTTTTACCCCTTGTTTTTTTCTTTTTTTTTTTTTTTTTTAATGCTTCAATTCGACTTTTGTTTTCTTTACTGTGACGCGCAAGTGACTTGAATAGTTGAATTTCGCTATTATTTTCTACTTTCACAATTGACGGCTTGACAAGAGAGCAAGCATGAATTGAATTAGTCCAAAACTAAAAATCTCGATTTTTTTTTAGGAAAAGCAATAGTTATTATTGATGAAACATATCATAGTACAAAGCTACAAAGAAGTTAAGGGTGATAACCATTTCAGTTTTTAGTTTTCAATTTCTAGTTTTCATTTTAAATTTTTTTTAAATTAAAAATTAAAAACTTGTTTGGTAACTATTTCCAGTTTAAAATTTTATGTGGAGCTTGAAAATGAAATTTTTTGGGGTCAAATTGTGAATTTCATATCGTAGAAAGTGCACGTTACAAAGAGTTTTTAGTATTTTTCAGTGAATTTTTTGGATTTAGGATGATCTTTTTGTGAATTTTGAATTTTGAGGTTCCAAGGCTTGGATTGGATCTGTTGTCGAACACAAGAATCGAGCGGCCAGGTCCAAGTCGGAAGGTCCCAAATACTGAACTTTGGTAACTAGAATGCATTTTCATGTGTGATGATGTAAAAATAGTGAACAAAAAAGGAGAGGAAAATAAATGAAAACTAAAACTAAAAACTGAAAACACTTTCAAGTTATTTTAAAACATAAGGGTGATTTTGAAAACTAGATTTCACTTTTTTTAAAACTGAAAATGAAATCTGTCACCAAACATGTTTTTAGTGTTTAGTTTTCAAAAAAAGTTAAAATGAAAATTGAAAACTAAAAATGAAATGGTTATCAAACAATTCCTAAGTTATTAATTGTAAAATTGATTACGCATTGGACTTCTTCTATATCTTTAGAAGAATCTAGCAACATAATTGTGGGACTATAATTTATTAGTGTTTGTACCAAAATTTGTACTATTGTCCAATTATGGCCAAAATACGTGATCGTAGAATTTTAAGGAAATTATTTGTCGTGCATGTCAAATGGAGGAAAATCTAGGAAATTTTTAAAGATATTTTCATGATTTTATGGAATAATTAAATTATCTTTTATTTGCTTGGAATACAAAATAAATAATAATTTCTAGATTCATGCAATATTTAATATGACCAAAATATGGCTAATATTTATTTTATTTGGAAGGAAATAAATATTAAGTGGTAACTTTCCTTACACCAACGATAACGATTTGAAAAGAATTTTCAAGGATCAATATGGAGCTAAAATAGGAGTGTGATTCTACAATACGAATTCTTGGGCGCCAAGTACTCTTGCTATTAAAGTTAGGTCAACATGCTATTTTATAAAGATCAAGAGAAGAAGAAAGGCTCTCTCTCTCTCAACACATCTAAACACTATCTACACATATGTCAAACATATATGTTCAAAGATCCCTACAGATCTCTAAGATCTCCAATTGACAACTCATGGGAAACTTTCCACATAATTTTCACACCCTAAAGGTTTGGGGTGATTTTCAATATGGGTCATAGGGTTTCAATTTCATCAATTTACACCACCAACATCATTAAAAGTAGGCGTGGGCACGGTCCGGTTTGGTCCGGTTTCACCCTCAAACCACAGCTGAACCAATTAAACTTTCACGGTCCGGTGTGGTTCGGTTTGAGCTAAAATCAAAACAAAAACCAAACCAAACCAAACCAAACCATTCATATCCGGTTTGGTGCGGTTTGGTTCGGCCGGTTTAGGCATAAAAGAAAACAT